TTTAATTGAAGTTGATTTTCAAGGTCATTCTCGAGTCAGTTCTGAATAGTGCTTGTCACGTTCGCTGGGGAGGCGATCCGGGAAGCAGGGATACGGAGCCAGGAAGTATGGCAAACGGGGTTTATTAAGGGAGAATCCACAGGACGGGGAAGAACGACAAGTAACATTAATGACAAGTCTGGGGAAGACTGACTCAGACGAGGACTAAATACAACAGACAAGCTACGGGTAACGAGCCACAGGTGAGAACAATCAGGGAGAAACAGGAGGTAATGAGGTGGGCGTGGCACACATTAGGAGCGGACGGAGCGGGGCGTGACAGTGCTCAACCCTGTTATGTACTTAAATTGCATGCAGATGTTACAGCAGAGAGCCCCTTTTGCACTAATTTACAGTCGACATTATAGTTTTATATTGCAATGTTCACCTCTTATCATATCATCAGCATTATTACGTTGTCCAAAAAAAATTATGAGTGGTTCACAGTTAATCAGAGTATCAGCCTCAAGAACCGTAGACCTAGAGATGTCCGGCATCCTCACCTGAGGATCAGGTTTAAACAGCTGCTCAAAGTAGTGGGTCACACCTGCAGTGTCACCCATGAGGACTATTCCACCACCTGCCCTGACCACGACTCTCTGGGTAACAGATATGGGTGTGCAAAATGCTTTGACTTCTTTGTAAGCAGGATGTGGGTTGCTAAACCACATATGGTGTGTCACTTGCTGATAGATTCCTCTAACAACCACCTCCTTACCTGCCCTCAGTGCCATCACAGTCATCCTTCTGTTTCCAGTACAAACTGAAGTTGCAATCAAGCCACGCATTGCAACTCCTCTCAATAATATTTAGGGTGCCCTTCAAGATTAAACACCTCCTTCTGGAAACACAGGTAACACTAAGACAACCCTCAGCAACCCTATAATGTGTCCTATCATGGAAGGTCTCCCACATCATATTAGGATCAGCAGTTGCACCCAAGTCTACAAGTTCCTCACAATAACTGGTTGTGTCCTCATACTTCCGGTCTTGCTATATGGCTGTGACTCATGGACGCTATGCAGTGACCAGAAACGAACACTGGACTCCTTCGGTACTGTGTTTCTTTGGAGAATCTTTGGGCACCGCTGCTTTGACTTTGTGTAAAACGAGTGGTTACTCAGGGAGTCCTGAATGAGTTACATTACCTGCATTGTGAGGGAGTGTCAATTAAGGCACTATTCCCATGTGGGGTGTCTTCCTGAGGGTGATCTGGTGATCATTGCTGAGGACCCAAGCGGCTGGACCAGGCCAAGGTGACACCAACGTAACACCTGGCCGTGGCAGATGGATGGCCATTTCCGGAGGGTTGGACTGGACCGCGTGTCGGCTTTGGGGTTTGCCAACTGGGATCCGGGGGTGTTTTGTCGTGTGTTGGGTGTGGCAATGCACTATACTGGTACATACTCTCCAACCTGGGGCAGAACGTTACATGCTTATACAAATTATATTGTTCAAGGGGGCGGAGACAAAAAATATAGGGACCAAAGCTCTCCTAAATAGGGCCTAGTACCCCCTAAGATGGGTGATACTACTGACGAGTAGCAGACAAGTAATTGTACTGCATGTGCTACCAAGCTGAGACATAGTTCTTTAATTGAGGTTTAATGATCTACTAAAAACAACAATAACATCAACAACAACAATAACAATAACAAACACAACAATCACTTTAGTAGCAGCCCCATATTCCTGAACCTCTTCACACAATATTTGCTGGGGCTTGCAGTCAAAGGCCTTCTGCAGGTCTGCAAAGTCACATAGACTGTGTTAGCAGATTCCCACAAAGTGTGTGGGAGAAGCAGCTGTTGTTGTGCCCATCTGCAGCGGCACCGTCAAAGGTGGGACAGTTAGGACGATTCCAAGGGCCCCCAAGCTACAGGGGCCCTAAAAATACATAATATAATTGATCTGGGTTGGGGCCCCAGTATGATTTGCTTTCATGGCGTCCAAAGTCTATATAACGCAGCATAAAATCCAAGGTCAGCCTCTTCTTGATCACAGTTAATTGATTTGGTTTAGGGTCATTTCCACAAAAGATTCTATTTAATGTAATATTGACAAAAACACACCCTGAAAATCAGACCCAGTTTGAGATTTCTTTTATACATTATATTTTATTTATAACCATAAGTTTCCACATTAATAAACAAATAAATACTTGCATATATGTCTTATCCCATAATACTTCTTATTATCAATTTATCTGTTTACATCATTAGAAACTGATAAACAAATGAAAGCATGTGTTTCATTTAAGCATTCTTCTTATCTTCCAGTGATAAACATTTCTTCATTATTTTATCTTGCTTCTCTGGGTTAATGCAGACCCTGATTCCTTTTCTTGTGGTTATGCTGGAATGAAATCAGGTGAAAGACATAAACATGAAATTAGCGATAATCCACAGCAGAACGAGCAGGATTATGTTCTGTAAGTAATACATCTTTTGATCAAAAAATCATAGTAAGCATTATGTTATTATTAAGCCAATTAATGTTACTGTAACTGAGCAATAACCACTTACATTACAGCAGCCATGGGGCATCTGGTATCTGTTACTTCACAGGATTTCACTACTGCGGCTGGAATTTTGCCTCCATAGTGTTTGTTGCAGCATTTACTTGGTAGATTGTTGTCGCTGCCTGTAAATCAAAACAT